CCTCTCTCCCTTCGTCCGTGTATGATCTCAGTCCCTGGCCTTTCGTCTATGTCTGAGGCCAGGGCATTCACACCCCTGATGAATGTTTGAGAGTGTTTCGATTGCAGTCCGAGTCAGGTCTGAGTCAGTCCAAGGTATCTCAAGTCTTCCACTTGCATCTGTATAACTCTGTATTATCTGGTTGGTTCTGGGAATCTGCGCCATACTTATGACTGTGTTTCACGAGTATGCAACAGTGTAGTACCGTGCTCATAGATCATTCCCGCGGTGACTTACGACCACCATATCTCGTAGAATGATTCCGAGATCAATAAGGTAGCCATACATCACAAAAGCATCAAAGCTGAGCAACCATTAGTTATCATGCATACACGGATGAAGCAAAAAGCGACAACACGTGGAAAAATTGGAAGACAAGAAAAATAACGTAAAAAAACTGAGAAGTGAAGATAGACAGATAAACCAGGATAGTGGAAAACTTTATTCCAGTAATATCATGCCCTTGGCTTGGGAAAACAACGGCCTTACTTGGCTCCGTACCAACGCTTCTTCCAACAAAGTAGCTCCAGACTTACGAACAAATGAAAGCAAGTATCCATCACAAGCACAAACAGTAAACCATCTCGGGCGCATCCCCAAAGGTGGATCCACTGAATATGGGATTCCAACCTCGACAGCCATTCACACGGAGTGTAGTGGCAATCCCTGAAGCGCTTTTCTGCCACTGTCCAGAATTCACTGCGTCTTCAGAGGGTAACACCTGCAACGTGCTTGGTCAATAGAAACTGAGAATGAGGAGGCACAGTCTGGAGATGGTAGAGAACAGCGAGGAAACAGCGCAATGAATGCAAGCAGTACGAATGCTGAGACTTCGACCGCGATCTCTGCCTTCTCCGCCACGTCGTCTTGCTGCAGCGTGAGTGATAGCGGTGTGAGTGCTTTATGGAGAAGCCAGCAAAGCAATCCGCAAGTATTAAAGCAAAAGACAGTTACCATGCTTATCTGCTATGCTCATCAAGAATGATTGCATACAGATATCAGAGGAGTGTGAAGGGCCGCATGAGAAACAAGCTGTGTGTGACTAAGGCGAGCTTGGGTGCAAGTAACGGAATTCCCTCAGGAAAAAGAAACGAGAGGTATACCACATCTGCCTCATCGCCTCCAATGAATCGGTCCACCAGCGCAGGATCCACGACACAATCCATGGGTGTCCTTCCTCGCGGTGCAGACTCCTCCGGAAGAAAAACACCGTTACCACCACTGAAACCAGAGCGTACAAGCTGGAGCAATAGGAGTATGGAATGCCTTGCATCAACGCTAAACTCATTCTCAGCTGTGGAGACATCCGAATGATCCATCTTCTAAATAGCCCTGTTTTTTTCGTCACTATCCGAGCTTTCGTACGTAGCCCTCTGCTACTTTCCCCGCAAAGTCGAAATTAGCCGCTGTGAGTGAGGATGAAGTTACCTGAGGCCTATTCTGGCAAGGAGGAGTTGCCTCAGGCCTATTCTGGCGAGGAGGAGGAGGATATTTTGATTTGGGTGGTAGAGATCAGGACATACATGGATGTGGAGCATGTACGAGCGGAGGACCAAGCATTGATAGTCACCACTATTCTGGCGAGGAGGAGGAGGATATTTTGATCTGGGTGGTAGAGATCAGGACATGCATGGATGTGGAGCGTGTACGAGCGGAGGACCAAGCATTGATAGTCACCACAACCTTGAAGGACAACGTGAAGGCATGGGTTGTAAGTCAAGTGCAGGCCATGGAGCATGAGTCACAGGTCAACAAGTATGGGAGACCCTGACCCAAAATGAATTCTTCCTTGAGGGATTGCTCAAAAGGTTTAGAGACAAGAACCATGGAGTTAGAGCAGGAGAAGAGATTTTGAGTACCCATCCCATACTGTGGCGTATTGTAAACGCTCTTGTCCGGAAATGGATCATCTCCTGCAGCAGATAGGACATGGGGCGATCAACGAGCAAGCCCTTGGAAGGTGGCGAGGGTGAGTCAGTGCCCTATGACGAGATAGAGATGGATTGTTGATAGCGGGTACCGGGGATGGGAGTACGTTGTTGCTGTGGCTGGGAAGGGAGTTCCGCACTGGAGAATATGGGTGGCGGATGGCAACCATAGCAAGTGGATGACACTACGCTCCACTACAGGGAGGTGGAAACAACTTCCCACCTTGTGGCCTAAGG